CATCCTAACGAGAGTAGTTCGGAAGAAAAGGCTAGGCAAAAAGAAGCCAAAATTGGAAGATGATGATATGTTGGATGATGGAAAAGTTGAAAAGAAAATGTATAAACGAAAAAATAAATGGAAGGGCAATGGGGACAAGGAGCATTTAAAGAGAAAGAAAAAGCAGAAGCTGCTGGAAGAGAAATTTTTGCTTCATGTAGAGGATAATTTAGATGGTACATTACAAAAGGCAACACAAGCATCAGGCAAGAAGAGTAAGTTTCAGCAGACACAAAAAAAAGGTCAGTATGCTTTGTTGGTCCGCAACTCAATGGATGGAGCTGAATCTGACAATGATGGCTATGTACTATATGATGGAAAGCGAACTGTGCTTGCTTGGATGATTGATTTGGGTACTGTGCCACAGGATGGGAAGGTGGAATATTTGATCCAAAGAAGAACACGTACAACTCGTGAGGGTAAGTCTGGTAGGATAACAAGGGATGGCATCCAGTGCAACTGTTGTAGTGTTGTCTTCACTGTTGCAGAATTTGAGACTCATGCAGGGAGCAAACTCCATCAGCCTTTTCTGAATATATGTTTAGAAACCGGAACTCCCCTCCTGCAATGCTTGTTAGATGCATGGAACAAACAGCAGCAGTCTAATTGTAAGGGCTTCCATTATGTAGATTTTGGTGGTGAAGACCCAAATGATGATACTTGTGGTATCTGTGGGGATGGCGGTGACTTGATCTGTTGTGATAGTTGCCCGTCAACATTCCATCAAAGCTGCTTAGATATTAAAGTAAATATTTGTTGCTATATGGCTTTATTACTTGCTGATGCATATGGAATCTAGACCTTCTTCCCTTTCCCACCTTTGATTTCTCTGTGGTGTCATTTTCGTTCTGGAGCACATGGAAGAAAAGTAAAAGGCTTAACAATTTTGTTTTACATTGTCATTCTTATGTAGTAGACATCGTAAGATCTCTAATTGATGATGGGAGATTGAGTGCATAAAGATGTGAATAAATTTGTGTATGTTCATTTTAACACTTTATTCTTTATGGCCAAACACAAAATCCTGCTATAATACTGGTTATTCTTTTGGTTTACTACACTCTGACTGGGCTTTATCTTTGGGTTCATGCTTTTGTTTTCCTCTGCTTTGCTCTGGGCCTTGATAACGTAGGGCAAAGATTTACTAAACTTGGGAGCAAGAAACATTGACTAAAACTTCTGGTCAGAATTCTTTGATGAATGCTTTTAGATAGGCAATTCTTTGTTGAATTTTCTTCTCAGTTACAAATCATTTGTCAAAACTAGCCGGGAAGGAAAACCGTGTCTGAAAATTCTGCTTACATCTACCTTTTTGCAGTTACATGTAGAAGTAGATTTTAAGTTTCCTTTAAATCTTGATAGTGAGTAATCTATTCTTTTTTCTCATTTCTTTGCTTTGCCTCAGGCATTCCCGTCAGGTAACTGGCACTGTGTCTACTGTGCATGCAAATATTGTGGGATGGTTGGAAATGCATCACAAAGGGACAAAGATGAGGAGATAGATCCTGCAGTACTTACATGCCATTTATGTGAAGAAAAATGTATTTGTCTTGTCTTTGTTAAATTCCAAGTTGTGTTTTTTATATGTCGATGCCCTTGGCAATATTTTAACTTTTTTTGTTGTCACTCTTGTTATTGCTATTATATGCTATTCATTTGACAAGGATCTTTTATTTTTGTAGATCATCAACCATGTATTCAGACAATGGATGCTTTAGATGATGAGTCTAGTGGTGCATCCTTTTGTGGGAAGAAATGCAAGGAGGTATATTTTTAGTTGGCCATTGATGTAACTCTACAGTGGGGAATTTATAGTTGTTTGCTAGATTTGCAAATGAAGTTGTAATTGCCATTTATCGCATCAATTAAGTTATTTTTGCTGGTATGAAATGATTGTGGTTTTCACCTTGTCAAATGTAAGTGTTTTTGTGTCTATGTCATAACTAGAAGTGTAACTTTGTATCTAGCACAAAATTTTCAGTCATTGAAACTGATCCTCTATGTTGATACCAAGTTGTGCACCGCATTTAGCAAGAGTGGGAAGAGAGGCGTATACTCCTATTGTGTGCATTCAACCGGTCTCTGCCTCTCTTTGGGAGCTACACGCATGCATACAAGTTTTTCTTTGACTTGAATAAGGAAATTTTCAGAACAACACCTCCCTTTTGAAATGAAGGGGGCAAATGTCTGCTGCTTTTTGTGTTTTGAAGTTGATCTTGAAGTTTCTGTTTTTGCAGTTGTTTGAGAGACTTCAGATGCTAATTGGGGTTAAACATCAAATGCCAGAGGGCTTCTCATGGACTCTTCTTCACCGTTTTGATATCAGTGCAGATGTTTGTCTCAATGAAGCATATCGGGAGGTTGAATCAAATTCTAAGCTAGCTGTTGCATTATCTGTGATGGATGAGTGCTTTTTGCCTCTTGTTGACCACAGAAGTGGGATCAATCTGATTCATAATATTGTCTATAATTTTGGGTAAGTGCGCCTAAACTGTTCACTGTGTACTTTAAAAGACATTAAACTCAATACTAAATTGTTTACATTCTTCAAAAAGGGCTGGCTTTTGGAATTTCTTCCATGGCAAGAAAATGATTTGGAAAGTATGGGCTGATTATTGTGCCTGCTGCTGTATGCACTCCTTAATTTTTACTCAAATTTTTGTAATTCCTTCTGAGTTTGGCAACAAAGATGTATGCAAAGCTGTCATTCTTCAATCAGTCCTTAATTTAAAGTTTGATATATGTCTTAGGAAGCATATGCAGTTGAATAGCAGTTATACTACTGCTTTGGAGCCGTATTTTAGAAAAGTTAGAGCAGAATTTTGTGCAACTTTAGTAAGCCTTGCCCTGGATCTGCAGATTAAGAAGATGTAAAGCTGAACAAGAACAGCAGATATTAATCTGTAGATAGAAACAAGCAGAACAGTCAACATGTGTAGTGATGGCTTAATGTGACATTTAGACATTAAGAGTTACCATAACTATATGAAATTGTTGAAAGACATCAAACAGATTGGCATAGAACAGATAGTTTCTTGTAGTTGATTGGTACTATTCTTTTCTATGGTAATATCTGAAAGACAAGCTAATGCCTATTTTTATTGTAAGTGATATTGGATTTTTCTGCATAAATTGTTGTTGCTGTGGTTTTTGAAATTGAATAAATCAAATCATTCCTGTTTTAAGTGAATTATTAATCTCTTTTTTTCTCTTTCTCAGGTCAAACTTCACTAGGCTAAACTACAGAGGTTTTTTCACTGCAATTCTAGAAAAGGGTGATGAAATTATCTCTGCAGCATCCATCAGGTAAATTTATTTTCTGTTCTTCTTCTCATCTCACTTTTGATCAATGCTTTACTCTTGTCCTAGTTTATTGCTGAATGTTAAGATAGAATATGTCGAAATACTTTATATGAACATGGAAACTTCCTGTATGTCTTTACATTTGAAGAATGATTATGGGATAGCATCCATCAGGTAATGTACCAACTTACCGTTTTAAAATACTCTTGGTCACCATACTTTTGTTTCTCTGCTGTTAATTTCTAGCTTGTCTTTACATTTGAAGCTTGTGTGTTGATCTATCCCCCAATCCAAAATGCCACTAGCCCACCCATATGTGAATATACTCAGATTGAAGATTTAATGCATTAGGTTTTTGTTTTATATTTGTAAATACAATTAATGGTACATGGCTCACCGTTACCCATGTAGTACCTAGTTGATTATTTGTAGTTTTGCTGATCTTAATCTGAAAATCCTGCCTATTAATCAAACTGTGCATGTGTTGGCCTAAATGCTAACAATTACAGTTGTTTACTTGGGCTAATAGGATACATGGAAACCAGTTAGCTGAGATGCCTTTCATTGGGACCCGTTATGCTTATAGGCGTCAAGGGATGTGCCGCCGGCTTCTTTGCGCAGTTGAATCTGTATGTCTGAATCGATTTCCTCCTTGTTTTCTTTCTACATGTGTATGCCTTATATTATACTACTAGAAAATTGCTTACATTTTGAACTGTTTTGGCTTAATTGGGCATGGCTTAAGAGAGGCCATGTAGATGTTCTTGCAAAATTCACTGAGGTTCACTTATTGTAGTATTTAAGAATGTTGAAAGGAGTAACAGAATCATACTGGAAATAATTCATTGACAACAGGTGTTTATTCAAAGATTTATAAGCGTGTATGAAGAGTAATAGAGTGGTAGCTCTATGGCTTTTTTTTTTAATGTATTTCATCAAGATTCTTGACCTTAATAATCTGTTTTTTTTTCCTTATTTTCTGGATTTCAGGCTCTCAGCTCTCTGAATGTTGAGAAATTGGTCATACCAGCAATCTCAGAACTCAGGGAAACATGGACTTCTGTCTTTGGTTTCCAGCCACTAGAAACTGCAAGCAAGCAAACGATGAGGAACATGAATATGCTGGCATTCCCGGGTGTAGATATGTTAGAGAAACGATTGCTTATGCATGTTACAGATGACCAGATGATGGATAATGCGTCCAATAAAGCTGGACAGAAGTGTTCAGTTGTGTTTGATTTGAATGTTTCTGCTGAGAGTCCTGCACCCCAAACAGATGAGAGAAACGGTGAAGCTGCTGCTGTTGAATTAATGTTGCTGTATTCTGATGGCACCTTTAAAGATACATCTGATTTAATGGGTGAGAACATCAATCTTCCAGAATCTGCTACTGGTTGTTCATGCATTCCAGCATATGGAGAACAGAAACTGGATTTTGACTCTAAATTAACCATACCATCTGAGGTGAAAATTTATGAAAGCATTATCAAACAGAACCTTGATTCTAAGCATGAGGGTTCTGTCAATCAGTCTGATGGTATTGTCCCTGCTGAAAATGAAGTGGCAGGTATTGTTCACATGTCAAAGGTTCCTGGTCAGAGCGTTGTTACTAATGGTTTTAATGGTACAGGTCGGATGTCTGAGGATGCAAAGGACACCAAGCATCATGAAAATTCAAAATTGCAGGTGGTAGGATGTGTTTCTGATTTTGATAAGATGTTCCTTCGGGCTGAAGTGAAAAATTGCCATGCTATTGGCGACGATGTGGCTAACCAAACTTCTTCATCAGCTCTCCCAAGTGCTCAAGATGTTGCAAATGGCCATTATGATGCCTCATCTAGCGACGGTAAAAGTAGTTCTTCCTGTCAGGATGACAGGATTGGCCCTGGTGCATCTGGAGAAGTATCAGTTCCACATGATGTAAATTCTCTTCCTTGTGAGGTTTGTGATGATACCTCCAAAAAAGAAAACTTGCAGCTTTGCATGCACATTTCCCCAGAGATTGTCTCAGGTGGTTCTGAGGTTGCCTTGACCATCATCTGTGATCGGAAAGAAACATCAACTGCAATACAGTCTGATTTCTCTGAAGATAATTTAACTAGTATGGTTCAGAAGAATATTAAATCTCCTACCCAATCTCCTCAGCAGCCTGTATCCAGTTCTCAGGTTGATCCCCCTCATGCTGCATCCTGTGATTCTGAATCTTTTTGCATCTCAAATTCTAGTACTGGAGTGGCCCTTTACTATGCGGCTGGTGGGGGTGAATCACATGGACCTGAGGTTATAGTTTTGTCTAACCAAGCTAGCTAAAACCCTGTCTATTTCCGGTTTCAATCAGGTGTCTTTCTGATGGCAGCCACGACAAAGTTGCTAGCCTTCTGTAAGCGCTTGGTATTTTCATCCATTAAGATATCAGTTTAGAATTTTTTATGACGGGGGTTATGACGAGGGCTAAATTTAGGTTCATACTGTTTTTTTTGTCTCTTTTGCCGTGTACATTATAGGCCAATAGTATTCTCTAGGATAGCTTAACGCCATTGAGGTTTTGTATATTTTGACCTTCCCATGCGCTTTGTAAATGGAAAATTTAACAACTGAGCTATACTAATAGTCTTCTCTTTGGCCTTTTGTCCTCTACAACATTAAATGCATCACAGTAACAACCTTTAACCTAAATCTAGTCTGTAACTAGAAACTTGCAAGATTATTCCTCAAATTTATGGAAGCAAATAAGAAAAGAATTTCATGCAACTTGAGTTAATATCCCATTGAGAAAAACTGAGGAACGTGGTCTTGTTATTGTTTTCAATTGAGATTCATTAATATGTGAAAACTGGTAGCACTGACAAACTAGCTCGGAAGGATAAATATATTGCGTCATAGCAAACTTTTACAAATGTAAATACGTAAACCTCATGCACATATGTTGATCATTGTTTTTGGGGTTGAATTTTGGGGGTGTCGCGCTGCACTGCTTTGATCTGCGAGTACTTAAAAATGAGCAACTTTAGCATGTAAATGTTTGCTATTGGCTTCCAACATACTTTCTCTTTGATGTTATTGAAGTTGTTTTACTAGCATATGGCTACATAGAGAACAATGAGAGAGACCAAATGAGTAGAGTAGCTGTGTCGCCTACGGTAATAATGAAATAATTCGAGATCAGCAGTAAGGTTCATGAATTATTTTCATTTTTGGGATATTTATAAAATTTGACTTGATTGTTTAGATATAAAAATTATTAGAAAGTCTTTTTCTTGAAACAAGTGACACTTCGAAGTGTCATTAATTAAGTGCCTAAACATCTGCCCACTACCCTACTAGACATAACGAGGGAATGTGTTTCTCCTCATTATGTCTATTTAACGCTCTTTTGGCAATTGCTCTTAACTAATCACTCCTTCATGATCTATATATAGAGATTTGACAATTTATCAAGGATGCACTTGAAACTCAAGAGACTCCTTTAAGTTCTTTCCAAATACTCTTTCTTATTGAGTTCTTTCCGGTTGATTCTCTATCTTGCTATGTCACTATACTTTCTTTATGCTTTTCTTAAATTTCATACATTATTATCTACTACAACACTTAACGCTTCAATAACTGTTTCGATTTTCTTTGCTACTATTTTTAGCAAAATATTACTCTCTCCTTACTATAGAAGAATTTCATTATATTTTGGTGATTTCACTAGAGAAGAGTGCTTAAATTAAGTAAAAACATTTATAAAAATTTTGTATTATTGGAAAAGATGTAAAATTCCACTAGTAACCAAGATGCACTCATTCCCACCTACCTCCAAGATTTATCGAAAATGATCTAAGTTTCTCAAGAGAGGATATGCAAGTCCTTGAGGACAACAATAAGTGGATGATGAGACAATCTCCCAGTTTGTATCCTTTACTAACACAACTTCTCGAGCTCAAACTGTACACCTTAATGGTAGCAAAAGCATGACTAATGAAACCACTCCTTCCTCTGGCAACACAAATGAGAAAAGTGGCAATGGAAAGTGCACGACGACCGCCAGGAATCCTAACATTACCTACTTGTTTTGGTGACTCTACTGCACTAACTCTACTAACCACTACTAAAAGCTTTGTGACAAAGGAGAAGCTCAAAAGGCTATTTGACCAGAAAAATAAGAGTTTAAACTTTTTCAAGTTTTGACCTTAAGTTGTCCTATCCAACTAGTGTAGTTGCCAAACCACACCTTAATTAAGGATTACAAAAGTTCCAAGTCAGGCAATTCAACGACAAGATCGGGAATGTACGAGAGCACTTTATGAAGTTTGTAGAAACTTTCGTAGTAACAAAATTGGATGATCACCTAAAGTTGAAAGAGTTCTCCAAGTCTCTTATAGAAAAACATGAACATAGTACGTAAATCTCACCTTTAATTTTATAGAATCTTGGAGTCAAATATGTAGAATGTTCAAAGAAAAGGTTTACCTTAATTGACTTGGGAAGAGAGTCTCATAAGTCGAGGAAGATCTCATGGAATACATATAATGTTTCAAAGAAGAATTGAAGGAATTTTGAAAAATATTGATATTAGGCTTCAAGATTTTTTATGAAATTACTCTTCAATCTTATCCAACCAAAGAAAGAAGATCAATTCCGTTTGTTCAAGCCCAAGTCATCAAGACTGTTGCAGTGGATTCGTTGAAGAAAAAATTCAAAAGATTATTCATTCATTTTAAAGCATTTTAGGAGTTTATACTTCTACATCTATTAATTAAATCATTATTTATCCTAAAAAAAAATTATTCTTATTTTCGACAAAAAATTCGCGTGGACAGAGATCTTGATTAATGTACTATTTAAAGCATTGTTCACTATGTATGTGTTAGATAACTAAAAAAAATTACCATGTATAGCTCAACTCCCAAGACTTTCCAATCCCTCCGGTCACAAGACATAAACATGTGCTCATTAGTTCAAACTCTACTCTTAGCTGCAAGATGGACCAATGTTCGGTAATGCAGCAGCGTTCCATATTCATCAATCATGTAGACAATTATTCAGCACTTGCTTGAAACATAAATAAATCAGAGTTGCAATAGGACAAGTCATCATCTACACATTTCGCTGAATCTTGCACGTAGCTTATTCTCATGTGCTTTACAAGAGGGGAAAGGAAAAAGGGAATAGAAAAAGAAAAAAAGAAGGGACAAATTCAAGATTCCCTGGTCCTGTCTGTTTGGTGATAATTTTTTACTGATTCCAATTGTCTGCATGTAAGGATTCTTCCCCATGATATGCAGATTAAAAGGGGAGGGTCGCCCGGAACTTGTTTAATGATGCAATTTTTGGCTTCATCTCAACCACACTTGGTAAAAGACAAGGACTCTGCCCCTAAATTTAGCTCTTCTTTAATCGCTCCGATTGAAGTAATTCTACAACCATCGCTATCCATTTATGACCGACGTTGCTGATTCCAAGCTCACATGGAATTTCAGCATTGTTTAATCGTAATTGTTCTCACTTAACTCGAAAGAAACGATGGGGCGTGCATATAAAAGACAAAAAAGGCATTTCTAAATTTTATAGAGTACTATAGTGTTATAAAATAATAATAAAGGATGCTAGCAGAAGTTAAGTGAGCAAGAAAATTAGGGATGGAAATGAAATTGGAATAATTAAATAAATAATATTGCAAGATTGATAACTTTATCTTTTTTCTTTCCTTTTAACTCTTATTCTTCAATTATTATGGTTATTTATTTGCTTTGACAATTTTATGAACATTCTCGTCTGTTATTTTCTTTGTTATTTTTCAACTAATTAATCCGTTCCTAAATTCTAAATAAAGAAGAAAAATACGAGAAAGAAAGAAGATCAAATTGAAAGTTTGAAAAGAAGTCTATTGATGAGGGAGAGACAGCCATTTCTCAAATTTGTTTCAATGCAAACAAAGACAAGCGTCTTTCATGCCCTAGCAACCGCTTTACATGTTCTACCATAATGCAAAAAAGTCACTAATTTCCTGACATTATATGTCTGACTAGAATTTAATTCCAATGTTAATTTTCCCTAAACCAACACCAAAATTCTTTGTTACTGAGCAAATAAAACCCTAAAAATAAATAGGAACATTTAATCTAACTAAATCGATCAGCAGATAAATTGCAATGCTTTAAACAAGGACCAAAGGAAGACAGCGTAGAAGATAAGGTGATAATAATTGTAGAAGTATAGAAGACAAAAAGGGGACCATTTTTTGTTCCCCACATGTATATATTACTAGATTAAATATAAGAAGATTAGATAATCAACATCTGATTGGCGGCCCAATATATATTGCTAAACATTACACATTTTACATGCACTGCCCTGGAATCCTACCGCCGGTAATCTCAGTAACGTCTCCGTCGTTGCTGTCACCCTCCGCCGCCATGAGACTAACAAGAAGATCAGCAAATGCTCCTATAATAAACTTATGTGTACTTTTGGGATTCAATGCAAGGTAACACAAGAGAAGCTCATGCAAGTAGTCCCAGTTGGCCTTGACGTCAATTAAGTCACGTGCCTCCACCATCTCCTGCATGGATCTCCTGAAATCCATGTATGGGTTTGGAGAGACGGTTGGGACAGCTACACTATCTTTAACTATGGTACCAGAGCTATGTACGTTCCTTGGTTCATCAGAGCGGCCGTCGTTTGAAGATTGATTTGCGTTGTTGATGGGACTGGAACTACTGGCTAATAGGGTATCTGATGACTCCGGAGTTGTGGTGATTGATGATGGTGTTGATTCAATGATGGAGTTGGAGCTGCCTGGAGAAGTGAAAAAGAAGCGATGTGAAGCAAAAACCGTGGCGAAGTCGGGCTCAGAGTCGGAGTCAGATTCGGGCTTGGAGGAGAGGGAGGACGAGTGGGTTAAAGATTTGGAGGTTGAGTAGTCAAAGGTGCTGTCATAGAGGGAGTTGTAGCTTTTGAAGAGGAGTGATGATGTGGTGGCGGTGGAGGGAAATGGACGGCCGTTATCATCTGGGGTTAGCGGGGAAGAGGACGAATGGGAAATACTTGGTGGGAATTTGATCTTGGTGAAGCAGAGACTGAGGTTTTTTCCCAGGGTGCTAGGCATAATTTCCGACAAGTTGTGATGAGGGAGAGAGATGGAAACTGAAGTTCACAAGGCTCCAACTTAAGTTTATAAACCATGTTCAAGGGAGAGAGAAGTCCACTAACGTTAATTGACGGCGAAGTTCTCATAAGTTCTGGATAATGAAATCTGTCAATTACAAACGGTTGAGGCGGCGTTTGCCATTACAAATCTGGATTATATTTTCAGAAATGTAATTGAGTGGCTTTCATGCTTAGTATAAAATAGAATGTGATTTTTATTAAAAACAGAAGGAATGTGACTTTTCCATTGCTTTGAGAATTTTTTTTGAAATTAGAAATTTTTGTAAGATATCTAATTTTTGCAAGATAAGTTATCTTGTTTAAATTTATTAATAAAATAAAATAAAATACAGAACCGTACTTCCAAAATTACATGAGATATCAAAAACAGTAAACCTATACAAGTTAATACTTGCTTTGTATTTTAATGCATGCAAATGATGAGTAATAACATTGGTTTACATGAATCTAAGAAAATAAAAAAACAATAAATTAAGAGTACTACTTCGTTATATTTATTTAATCTTAACATATGATAAATTAAACTTATTTGATTTGATCATACCTCGTTTTCACTTTGTACTTGAGAGAATACATTTAAATTCGAATGCGAGTAACCACGGTTAGATAAATAATTTACAACTTGATTACTTTAATAATAAATATGCTAAATTTTATAAAAAAAATTGATTCAAACACCTCTTGATAGAAGCTAGTAAGTATAGTATATCCTGAGACCCCCTAGTCCTTTTTTGAATCATTTGAATCACTACCAATGCATCCATCTCAATAGATATTAAATTGTTGACATAAAATTAAGCCTTTGTGTAAGGTCAATAATTCCACCTTTAATGAATTATTGGATCCAAAATTTTCAGAAAAACTAAAAATAAATGTACCTAAATGATCTCTTAATTCACCTCCCCTAACTGCATTCTGAAAATTATTTTTTGAACTACCATCAATATTCAATATAAACTCACCTATCAACAACTTATACGAACAAACTTCGAGAAAGTTATTAATTATGTCTTTCTAATTTTGTCCTAGCTGTACCAGTCATGCTTATAATATATATTTTTTAATTATTTGGATACATAATTATTACCACTACCAATTAAGAGGAAATTGATTATAAAAATAAAATATTACTACCACTAATATTACTAAAAGCATTTGTTACATATATTTAAAAAAAGGTAAAAACAATAGATCATTAGTCAAAGAAGTTCAGTAACAAAAAAATAACATTCTTTGGAAACTTAAAAAATTTATATAAAAAAATATAAATTTACTAAAGTTTATATATTCATCACAAAGATAATTAGGCAAATTAACAATACATTTTCATTACTTCTAAACTAAATATTATAACGTAATTTTTTTAAAATTTTAATTGGTACTTTTTCATATACAACACATGATACAATATTTTCTTCTCAACAATCGTTTTTCAATAATTATATGGTCATCTGCTATATCTAACAAAACCTTTTACTACTAATATGCTTTTAGTTTGGAACAAAATTTCAAAGAACAGAAAAACAAAGTGCAGTTAATGCAACCCTAACACTAATAAAAAATGTTAGTTTAATCATCTTTCTTTTTTCTTTATTCGAAAGGGAAAAGAGTTTAACTAACTGATTTTGTTGTATCTAAAGCTATTTAAAATAGAAAATTAGATTCAACGGCAATAGGCAGCTGCAAAAAGACCGTAATGACGCTTCAACCCAAATCAAAGTCTGTAAACGCAGTATTAAAGAAAGGACAAACAAATCAAACTACTCTTTCACTCTCGAATAAGCACGTCAACGCACGTTGAATTACTTTTTATCCTACAGTACGTTCGCGTAAAGCTGAGTTTGTTTTCATTTTCCTTTATATAAATAAAATAAATAAAACGTTAAATTTGTGTTATACGTAAGGTGCACATGCAAACGATGGTGGGAGCATCCGCAGAGGCATTTTTGTGATTCTGTGCATCACTTTAAAGAAAGAAAATTAAAGTATTTAGAAATTATTTAATTTCACCAAACATTAATACGTTCGGGTGTGGGAGTGGTCGTCATCGGAGCACTGTCCTCTGATTAGCACATAAGAAAGCGATGGATCCAATGGCTATGATTATCTTATCACTTTGTACAAGATTTCTCCCACAAGACCTGTCATGTTTTGGGTCCCACGACTTGCATTGTTGAGTGTTACGGTAGGTCGCAGTCTAGGATGATTTTGGTAATTTTTCGCAACAGAAGCATTTATTTTTGGGATAATCAATTTCATATTACCATATAGTACCTGTAGATTGATACATCTCTCTCTCTGTCCCCACCAATCCTGCTAATTATAGATGCCAATTTCACTATGTCAGGTTTGAGGAGTGAAAGCTATAGCGTATATCATTTGAGAAAATTGGGGACAAATTAAACAGGTTCATGTCACGTTGAAGATCTCTGGAAGAATGCTTGCTACGTACCCCATTATTTTTTCCCATTAGATATTCGGTAATCTGGCCTTTCTAAGAGGAAGGGAGAGGTCAGGTAGGCAACTAGGATGGTCCAACCAAAGTTAAAACGACCTAAGCTAGCACATGGTGGGGAGCACCGAGGTCGACCAATCCAACTAACCTTTTGCTTCTTTTTGTGTCCAAGGACTCCAACCACCGTTCAGTTAACGGTAAGCATCATCCATTGTGATGCCAATATCTATATATATATATATCTAATCTCCGCTTCTAATTCAGGTTGCCTACCCCTAGCCCCTAGGTCACGATCAAGAAGACACCTACATAATTAGTAATTAATAAGCATAAAAGCTTATAATTGGTAGTACCCGAGAATTGATTTATGTGTATTGTTTCAATTGTAAGGCAAAGGTTTTGAACTTTAATTTATTTCAAATAGTATCCCACTTTATATGAATTTCTAATATCTATGTAAGTTTGTTTGATTTGAATATACTTGTGATTTTTACTTGTTAGAAGAAGCGTCTGACTTTTTGTGATACCATGAGCTTATATCTATTTATTTTAACCACAATCACTTGCACCATATCTTTGGGAAAGCTGAAGCAGTGTGTTGCCTTGCTGTAGCATTCAGAGAAGGACATTGCAACAGTGTGACCACTGTCCACTGCGAGATAAGAAAAGTTAGCACGAGAAATCAACGTCAGTTTGAGCAGATGACAACTATTTGTTTTCGTAGTTGCCCGACATTTCAATGAAACTCGAAAATGGCCTCCTCCATAGATTATACTAGCCAGTTATATCCTGCTATTCCTTCTAAGTTTACTCCAGGGCTCCTTAATTATTTCATTTTAGGTGTTTGTTTGTTAGAGAAATTAAGGCATGAAAATATACAGAAGTAATAACATTAATCATATGTAAGAGAAGGAAAACTTATTTTGAATCTGTCAATCAAAATAGATCAACATTTTTCAAGTAAATCATTTTCACAAATCAAAATTGATCAGTAAATTGGCAACTGATTAGGACAACAGGATGTTGTTCATTTATTCAGTTAGAATTTGTCTCCCTCAAATATCTCTCACTTGCATTTAGCATGACACAGTCAACTTGAGAAATAATATAACCTTTTCCACTATCAGTAGTTTCAAAGCCACAACCCACGCCTGATCACAACAATACGGTGGTCGCAGGGACTTGTTCTCTTTGCTCGCTTGACTCAGCCAACCGTCAAGTGGTCAGTTCGATATCATTTTGTTATGTACTATGCAAGAAATACAACATGACTAATTATTGACCTATAAAGAAATACAGGGAAGACCTTCTTTCTCATGTGTGCCATACAGTGATTAGTTAACAACTGTAAGGAAGCCCGAGGAGACTATCTGTGGCAGTGCCAATTCAGAGAGCATCCTCATCAGGTTCAGATCTTAGAGATGAGCTGTAGGAATTGTCCTGGTTGGGGATCTCTGCCCATTAGCCAACCAAACGTGTTTAGTCAGTGAAACTCCCCCGCCTGTTTTGTGCTGCAACCAGTCAGGTTCTGCAAAATTATTGGATATACTAGTATATTTTATCAAATCAAGTTTATGACACATTAATTATTTGCGCCTTGTCCTTGCCTGGTTCGTTGATGGTATGGGCGGCGTTTGATTCCCAATGGGAGATTGCATGCACTTACAAAAATGGGGAGAACCAACAAACAAAAAAAAAAAGAAAGAAAGTTGAAATTTGGGAAATTTTGATGGTTCTGTAAAGATTACGACTAGTTGAAAAATCTTAAAAATTGAACCGAATCCTCATCAAACAACATGATTTGTCGCTTTTTCTACAAGAACAAGACTGATCTATGTGTTAACGGGACCATAACAACGTACCCTTTTGGCCTGTGATATATAATATCAACCCTAAATCACTTTTTTACCTTTTTCATGTTCCACGTACACATCATGCCAGAGAGTTGTCACCTCACTAAACAATTTCATGGACTGTTTTCTTTTTTTCTGTTCTCGGACTATTCCACAAATACTTGAGCGCAGCACTACGAAAAGGGTTTGGGGAGTTGCATAATACTCCTGAATTTGACCGCCCATGATAGGAGCTAAAGGTAAATCTTATGATCTGCTTCAAGAATGAATAGTTAAATTTACCTGCTCAGTGCTCACCGTCTGTTTCTAATAATTTTTATTTCATTTTCATGACGAACCTTACTCAATGTATAAATAATAGGCATTAGGCAATGATTACAAATTATTTACACTTCACAATGTGCTAAATGCAAAATAAGATTAGGGGTTTAAGACAAGATTCTATGGAAACCAACCAAAATTTAAACTTTTTTATTTTAATAGAGTTATACTACTATTCGGGAAGATCATCTTCCTTATAGAGGAAGCACAAGCAAGTTGAAGTCATTGGGCAAGTTAACAAAATTATTTCTGATTAAATGATCAACCAAGCATTTACAGGGAAAAACAAATAATTAATGTCACTCTTAATCTCTTATTATTGACGTCAAGTCAGTGCGCATACTATACAGAGAAGTACTTGAGCAGGGCCCATAATGAAGACTTATCGGGCCTTAAGCCTA